GCATGCAAGACGTTCAGGAATAAAAATTAACGATCCATTTGGAATAAAGACACATTTTAAGGGGAAAAACCCAACATTGTTCGACCATCTGTATCAGGAGGCCCGGGGGTGACTGACAGAGAATCAACCGTTTCTGAATGTAGCCTTAGCAAAGTATCATGAAGTCTGTAACTCCTGCCGGAGTCCTAAAGACTTTGGAAATTTAACAAAAATGTTAACTTAAGAGCCCCAAGCATCCTTCAAGCTCAAGAGAACGGTCTCCTCTTTCCTTACATTGAAGGGAAAGATTCACTTCACTCCTCCAGAGTTTTCAAATGATTGTGGTCTTTGGTTCATGACCCACCAAGCCACTGGTTCAAATCCCAAGGGTTACTTGGCCAGGAGCTGATCTATAAAAGACAACTTCACTCCAGTGAAACAGAAAGGACGAGCACGACTTTCAACTCTGTGTACGTTTGTAGTGTTTAATTTTTTCCAAAAGTTTTGCTTGACTGACCTGTTTACTTCGGCTCTGTTAAGCAATCCATCGAAGAGCCACACTGTTAATGCCAGTTGTCTTAGATGGACTTTCATTCGTTTCAAATGCACAAAAGGAATAGTCACATGAGTGCCAGACAAAGGCGCTCATATGCGAACTCTGATTCATTTCCAGTAGCAATTTTACTCACAGTGCTGCTAGCTTAGTCAGTCAGCATTAATAGTATTGCTGTCTCAAATGGACGTGAGCTCAGTCGAAAGAATGCATTCAAATCGAGTAGCGGGACTTCTTGAAACTTGACAAATCATCCTCAGGAAGTACCACCCATTTGGCTGGGCCACATCCTCCTCCACAGGTGCTGGTGCCCCCCCGCGACAAGGTTCTGAGGTCGATGCCCCCTCCCCCCCAACTTGGCCGGACACTGGGCACCGAATCCCTAGCCATCGCCAACTGAAACCATGGAGATTTGTTCCTGTTTACCGGCTGCCTCTTCATTGTGACACAAAACCCAGAGCGTTACGAGGTTCCCTTTGGAAAAGGGGAAGGAAAGAAAGAGAGAGAGAGAGAGAGAGAGAGAGAGAGAGAAAGAGAGAAAGACAGAGAGAAAAGAGAGAAGAGAAAAAAGAGAGAAAGAAAGAAAGAAAGGAAAAGAAAAAGGCAAACGCACCAGAAGGCTGTTGCCAGAAGGGACTCCTATGTCCTCCGGCTATTCGATTGAGGGAGTGGTGCTGTGAGATAGGGCAATTGTTCCCAAAAGATAAAAAAAACACACAAAGCTACACAGGGGACCAGTTGCATAACTACAATCGGACGCAAATGAGCCCCAGATTCCTGCAAGGACAAAGCCCCCCCCCCCCCCATAATATCCACGAGAAGCTATGAAACAATATATGTCAAAGTGTGGCAATCTGTAACTGGGGGAAAAAATACATATAAAAAAACTTCAGAACACTCAAGGCTCGAGTCAGTAGGCAGGAAGAGGACACAGTCCTGCTCAGAGGGAGGGAGGGGGGGAAAGAGAGGGAGAGAGAGGGATGCAGAGGGAGAGTGGAACAGTTAGAGACATTCTTACATTCTTTCACCCTGAGTCAATGCCGCTGGGCACTTTCCTGGCGGATATACACCACCTCTACCACTAAACAAAGCCCCCAGCCTCTCATTGGTGTGTTCCTGCAAAGGCAGTTTGGGGGGGGGGGGGGGGGGGTAGCTTGACCATTTTTTTTTGTTTGTTTCAAAGAGTGAAGCGGTTGGCAGTTGCTCATCGTTAATGCGACGGCTTCTTGGAATGCGCCGGGCAGGATCCTGTGTGCCCGGTGGCCACGGATTCGCCGGGGGGGGGTCAGGGATCTCCCCACACACCCGGGGCCGCATGAGAGGTGGAACGGGCCTCGCGGAATGGGAGGGGTCCTCGGCAAGATCCCATATGAATACCGGGAAGGAATCCTCCACAAACGCAAAAACAGCAAAAAAAAAACAAACAAAAGCACCTCTCAACGCAACATCAGCCACAATGATTATTAGAGATGAAATGAGGTCTCCTTTCACACGGACATTGAAACTTGCTCTCATCTATGACAGTACCCCACACCCTACACTCACAGGATGAAACAGTTAAATAAATACCACAATGCCTTCAGCCAAAGACCTAAATCCCACATTTAAGACAATCATGCATCTGAGATTAAGGCTCAGAGACACACTTCTGTGAGCAAAGCTCGGTAGAGGTCCGTCACGCTATAAAGTACGCTGAATCCAAACATCACGAGCGTTATTTCATACCTGTGCCAAAATCCTGGCAAAATATCACACAAATGGACTTCCAGATAAACACAAGAAATAAAATCTCTGTTTTTGGCCTATTTCCCCTAAACTAACAGGCACAGCAATTCATGAATGGCTCAATCTGGACGGTACCTGATGTTATATGAAAATATTACATTACTAGAAAGTTTTCTAACAAGTACCTCAGGTCCCAACCGGTTTAGACCCCAAAGATTTATGGATGATGACAGCTATCTAAATGGGGCTCAGGTCAGGACAGGATATAAGGCACACTGAGAAGTTCAGTTTCTTCATCCAGGGAAATCGATATTTCCGTCCTCGCTGGGTAAGGTCTCACGCGGTCAGCAGCAGCATCTAACGAGGCCTGGATGCAGCCATGCAAAGCCCCCTGACCTCTTTGTGGAGACATTCCACTGAAGAATACAAGGCACATCTGCGTACATCAAGCCAGCCATTGATTTCTAAGTGACAGCCGTTAATGATTTAACGAAGTCTCTTTGGGATGCCTTAGATGTATCCGCAAAGGTCACTGTTACACAGAAGACAAAGGTCAATCTCACTCCAGTCAGAAAGTCTTTGAGGGCAGAATTTGAGTACGTGATACACACTTGGGAGGATAATCTATAAACCCAATCCTTAAACACTGAAACTTTTATAAATAATAAGATATAGAATTTTTACTGCGCAAATATCAATAAGCTACTGTAATTACCATCAAAAAGTATTAGAACGTTAGTAACTATTTGCGGTTTAAATATATAAATAAAATTCATTAAATTATATGCCTATAAATAATTTTCATACCATACCACAGTTTCAAAGTACCCTGTGTTCGGCAGGCAAATAACTGACTGTACAAGGTAAAAAAAATTGTCATAGAAAAAGTGGAACAGTTTCAGCGTTTAATGGGAATCAAATGTGAGCCGCTGCTTTGCCGTCACACGGTCAGTAAGCGTCCGACTCTCTGATTGATATAACAGCGTTTACATTACAATGCTGTTTAAAGTGACACATTTACATCCCGCCTAGTTTACACATAGCGACCCGTGCATATTTAAAACCATAAAACCCAAGTTTACTGTAAGCTGTACTGGTGAAGTTTTGATGATAAAACATCCGGATCTGTTAAAGATTAACGAAATGTACATATTAACCGCGTAAAGGGCAATGTCTACATTGAAATGCAGACGGGCGTCCGTCTCATCGGTACTTTTTGAGCGGATGTCAGAAAGAAGAGAAAAACTCCGTGGCATTTCTGACACACAAACTACACGGTATGTCACGCCTATTGAGCTGAAACGTGCGTACTGTAAATCTATCATCTAGCACATTTTTGGCAGCGGATCGAAGCTGTTATACGCTCCGCGGGGTCACCATACACGAGTTTCAAGATAATCATTATACTTTGCTTTATCAAACATTTGTTTACCTTTCTGCGAAACTTGATGGTAAAACTACAATTTCCGCTCCGCCTCTGTCTTCAGGCAGCTGTACATTTCCAACGACTTAAAGTACATGAGGAATATTCTTTTTTTTTTAAAAGAAAAAAAGGAAAAAGGAAAAAGAAAAAAAACAACTTTCCATGGATTTTGATCCTAAATATATTACGTGGTTGATCCAAGCTGTTCTTGAGGGTTTCGTCTTCTTATTGTTCTGGCCATTTTCATTCCGAAAATGCACTTCCCATTTCTCGCATAATAGGATAAAAATGTAATGAATCCTCTTTTTTTCCAAGGGATCGCGCTATGAAGGGAATGCACAAAAAGACTGCCCCCTTCTACTAACCGCAAGGACCCAGAAGCAGCAAATTCTCCTTAACTCAGAGGCTGAACATATATCCCCCCCACACACACACTCCTGCCCACCCCCTCGTTTCCTATCCTAAAGAAACCCAAAAGTTTCGAGGTGGGAAATCCCTCCTTCTCGGGCTGCTATTGGAGGTTGGCCAGATTCGTTGGCGTTTCTGTTGGCTTTTTAAAACGTCGCTCATGTATTAAATAAAAAATGACAAAAGGCTTTTGTGCTTTTGGTGCTCAGCCTTGAAGTTCGGCCGCCGCGCTGCTGGCCGCTTATCCCATTCACAATCTCCCAGCATCTCGTCCAGCCTCCTCCACCCGATTCGTTCCCCTTCCTGTCGACTATTTAAATAAATGCACCCATGCCCATTACTTCTGTAGGGATGGTTGCGCTTAAAGAAAACTTAGTTTACTACACTGATTGGAAAATAAACTGTGAAAATGTATGGCGCTTTCAAGCATAAAGCTGTTAAATGTTTTGGAGAAACTTGGATTGCTTGGGAGTATTAACGACGTGCCTGTGATGATGAGGAGGGTGATTTTAAGAGAAGAATGACGGCACCATTAAACGGGCGCTTAATTTCGAGACAAGCTAGATGAAGAATAATCGATTAATTAACTTTAACGCTAAATGGACTTATTTGTCTTTTGTTGTTAAAAAGGGCACGCAGTTAAATGCCACTAAATGTGAAATGTTATAAAGAGCCCCGTTTCCCTATCACTAAAAATACACAGCCGTATTACATTGACAATTTAATAGCACTAATTATGACGTTGAGAATTCACATATGTAGAAGTTATTAAAAAATGACGTAGAATTAACTAATTTTCAAAAGATCAAAAAAGGAGTTCAAATATTTCGATTTCGATTTCAAAGTTCCTTTATTGAGCTACTTGTCTCAATAAAACGGAGGATTTAACACAATCGAAATAATAATACCTACTCTTGCATAATTATAAGCAATTACAATTATATTATATAGTTATAATGTGACCATACTTAAAAGACATTATTATTACGATGACAATAATGATGATTAATTATTCTTTTCTATATTATATTTTATTACGTTGTTATTATTATTATTGCTTCTCTGGCGCCCACTTGTGGTAAGACGCTTAGAGGTCCATAAGCATCTGTATATTGGCAGTGCCTAAACAAACGTTAATCGCCAGTTCTCTGCTGCAGGAACTCCTGGTGGACTGAAACGTTTTAACATATGTCACTTTGACTGAGATGGTAAGTTCACGCAAGTATTAAAAGTCTAGGTCTCTGAAACGGGCTAAACCTCTCCATATCATTATAGGTTCTGGTAAGATCGGTGACCCCAATGAAATCCATCCATCGTTCCCTACCTGATGCTTTAAGTTCTCGGTAAAGATGGAAAAAAAAAAACTTTCCAAGTCCGTTATGTCAACAGATATCACCGTTGACTAAACAAAACTTAATATTTTTTCTCTAATTAAAATATGTCAGGGCGTTTGCAAGCGAAATAATTTAAAAACAGATGAAAAGTGCAGATAATTTACGAATTCCATAATCTTGCGCTGCAGCTTCAAACTGGGAGCACCACAGAGAAATCTCGATATCTCGTTTATTGCGATACAAGGTAAGGTAACCCAGCTAACAGGTAAATCAGCGTCAGCACGCACGAACAGCACCCTGGTGCTTCATGGGTAATGTAGTCTGTTCAATTAAAGCTCAGCCAGGTTGACTCACTGACAGTATAGAAGCGTTCAATGTGCAATTTGCCTCACTTGTACGTCGCTTTGTGTATATATATACACATACACACACACACACACACACACATTTCTCTTCATCCCCGTTTTAAAAATACCTTAATTCTCCTCTTGGAGTATAATTTTACCATATTAAATATGCTGAATAGCTTCTTCGGCGGCCTTTTGGCTCAAAGAGTGTGACTTTCTCTGTTTTTGGCGATAACACACGTACTGGAAATAACTATTTTCCCCGGCACCCCCAGGTAAAATTATTTCTTTTAGTCACTAGTAGTGAGACTCACCCCACTGCGGTTTACTTTCAGAAACCTTTGTTGTGCTCGTTCCCGTGACTTTGAAGATGAAAAAAAAACCGGTTACACGTTTTTGTGCTGGCGGCGACTGAAATAAAATGAACGATCGGTCAATGATGGCCACCAAAAGCGTGACGGTGAAAGTTAAGACACACGCGTAAAACTAAAATATTTCAAAAGGTCCAATAAGTTCCCGTTGGGGGACGGTTAGGGATCTATAAGATACTGGCAGTTTAGTGTTTAAGTGTTTTTTTTTTTTTTTAAACTACATTTTCCCCAGGTAACACTGCCTGAGAATGTCAAGGTATCTTAGGTGTAGTTTCTTCTTATTATTTTTAAACAATTACCTGGTTCAGTATTCATTGGAATAAAAACTGTATGAGGCTGGGAAAGCCTGCTCATATGGCTGTGTGACTGCATAATTTATGAATAATGAGCACACAATAACGGTTGCCTTTAAAGAGTTTTATTCCTTGAAAGGCAGTTTCAGACACGCGACCAGCCTGAGCTGGTCCCTAATAACCATTTCGGGCCTACCCTAGAAGCCGCTTCGGGAAGAGAACAGGACAACACAGGAACCGTCCAAGACTTGGGTGGGAGCTGAACACCAAGTACAAAATATAAACTCTACCGTTACAATAAGCTGCAGGTTTAGGATGACAGCACACTACACGGGAGGCGGGGCAGAGACACACACACAAGCACACGTTTTCACTAATGCAGAGGTGATCCCAAATGACCAATTCCTGAAGGGGATGAGAATGAGCCGGCGAATGTTCATGGAACACCGTGGGGGCGGGGCGTAGGACCTGAGCAGCGTGGAGAACAGCCAATAAGAGAGTTGGTGGGAAGCTCTCATAATCCATCCCCCAATCCACAAAGACCGGGGGGGGGGGGGTCGTCTTTGGCTGTCTGTGCACAGGGGTGCAAGGAATTCATCATTCGCATCACTACGGTGACAAGCCTGCGTGGAGTTGGTGACATGTGGGCTCCGAGGCTCCACCTCCGGTCCTCTCTGTTTACACGCTGCTGATGGCGGCTACACCGGGCAGGACTTTCCCTGCGGGAGGCGGGAAACACGCAGACACACAAACGTCAACAGCAGCACCTAACTCTCAAATCACACTTCACACTGACGGACACCATCCTATATTGAAGTTTCAGGGTCTTTATAAGGCTTTCCGTCTGGGATCAATAAAGCTAACCTTATTACTTTAACGTACACAACTGAAAGAGACCTTTAATATACTGCTTAAACATGTCTAAGACAGCCTGTATAACTTAATAGTTCCTTTACAATGCACTCCCCCCCGCCCCAATCCCAGCAGTCCCTGTTGCACCCTTGGCTCACATTCCTACCCCCTACACTATATGCTGGCCTGTAATTGGTGCGTTTTTAGACTAAACCAGCCGACTCATTAGCATCCCGTTTGCACTGGGGTGGTAATGCTGAGGCTCCGCCCACCTTCCAGCAGCTCCAGGCTAGCTCCGCCTCCCGTGCTCACATGGCTGACCTTGTCTTCCGTGTCCCACTTGGCGCAGCATGTGGCTGTGTCACCCCCACCTGAAGGGCACAAGAGAAGGTGAATAAACCAACAAACCCTCCACCCACCTGTCTGTCCATCCATCCAGGCTTAACGTGATCCTACATTAGTTAAATGAAACCTAAATGAAGTAAAATGTCCAGTTTAATAACTGTCCCCAAAAACGTTATGTGAAAAAACAGAGGGGAAAAATAAATAAATTCAGCACACGTAGGTGCATAACTTTGTGGTGGTTCTCCAGTAATAGTGACACCTCTAGTTGAAACTTCCAGGAAAAAAAGCGGACACGCCAGAGTGACCGGAGCGCCAGTCTCACCGATGATGGTGACGCAGCCGTTCTTCGTCACCTCCACCACCTTGTCCATCAGGTTCTTGGTTCCGTGGGAGGAGAAGTCCCACTCGAAGACGCCGACTGGCCCGTTCCACACGATCTGCTTTGCCCTGCCCACGGCCTCGGCGTAGAGCTTGGAGCTCTCCGGTCCACAGTCCAGGCCCTGAAGGAGGAAAATGGTGGCAAAGTATGAAGGAAGAACACAACTTTTTCAGATGTTTCTGACTGAACATGCCTACTAGATATTAAACATCCATGTCATCAATAACAAAATTTATCTTCGAGGATTAGAAAGAGCAACACACTTAGATACAAAAACTCCGATACGAACATGGGTTCGGAAAGCCATTCATGGAGAATTATTTTCACAAAGCCGTATAAGGCTTTAAAGCCATGTGACTTGTGGCTCATCTCATGCTTGGGTTTTGCTGCCCCCTGGTGTGCAGAGGAAGGAAATGCCAGAGCAGTGTACACGTTGGGTCACCCGCTTAGGTCTCACCATCCAGCCAGCAGGGATCCCATCCTCCACGGTGGCGGTTCCAGTGGTGGCGTTCTCTTTGAAGTCGTTGGCGGTCACGAAGTCAACAGGCAGCGCGATCTTCACGCCATTCTTCTTAGCCTTGGCCATCAGATCGTTGACGATCTTGGATCCCTCCTCATCGAAAAGGGAGGTGCCGATCTGTCACAGAACAGACATTCAATTCAGAAATTTGGGAAGGGGAGGCAGAGGTTACACTCCAACTGTTACCATAACTTAATATGCTCTAACTATACGTGATTCCAGGCTTTTCTCCCACGGAGTGTAAGGTGAGACCGGCCAACCAGGAATTCATCACTGGCTACTGAGCGTCACATTTAAAATTTGTAAAAAAAAATTAGTAAATACATTTACAACAAATAACTACACGTTAGTAATAGCAAAGTCACATTTTCAAAAATAACAATATAATCTCATTGAACAAAACATGTTCAAATTGCATTTTCATCTGACCACTAGGGGGTGGAATTACACCCTCAGCATTCCCCGTAAAAACGCGACTCCAACTACACTAAAAAGCTATAAAAACCCAGTGAGTTCGATTCACCGCACAGCTGATCCCCGGCCTCATGCCAAGCGGCCTCACCTCCATGTTCTTGAGCACCTTGAGGAACGTGAAGGCCATGCCCCCTCCAACGATCATCTCGTCCACCTTGTCCAGCAGGTTGTTGATCAGCTGGATCTTGTCTTTGACCTTAGCCCTGCCAGGTGCAGAGTGCCCATGTCAATACAACACACCTCCGTAGCTTTGCATTTGGAGAATGACTGTGAAACACTGGTGGCACCGAGTTGTAAACGGAAGATCAATGGTTCCAATCCCAAAACGAATCCTGCTATAACTCAATCAAGGTACTTCACCTATACATTACCCAATTGTCCAATTCACTTTAGACAAGTCTTGGCTAGACTAATTAATGGAGACTAATTTGCTTTGAAAGTCACCAATCTGAGAGACAGGCTATGCTGAATTGGACCCTCACAGCATCACCCTAACCCTGGGAAGGCAACTCTACGTTTTAGCAGAAATTCATCACAACACACACGCGCGTGCGTGTAGCTAAACCCTGCTTCCTGTATTTCTGTTGCCAGCTGGTCTTCCGTTCTGGACTTTGCTATGGGCAGAGAGCCAACGCGGCAGACAATGCAGACAGGAGGGCTGGGAGGGGTCATTGTCTCACATTAATAATAATAATCAATGACAAACCACGTTTTACGCACATGGAGAGACTAAATAAACTTGCCAGTTAGGCAACATCGTGCCCTTTGGACTCTGTAGGTCACTGTCCTTATGAATCAGCCAACGCTTCCGCTCATTTGTGCCAGTTGACGGAGAAGCATTTACACCTCTGTGGTTGTGGGTTCGATTCCCACCATAACTCAGAGGGTAGGGTGTTCGTGTGTTCTCCCCATGTTCGCGCATTTCTTTAAGGTACCGAGATTTTTTCCCCCTCACAGTCCAACAGGTGCAGTTTAAGATTGATGTTTTTAAAACAAGCCCAGAGCGTGTTCTTGTGCGAGTATCCTTGTGCGCTTTGTGATGGATGGGTTTCTATTTCAGGCTGTACCGTGTCCCCTGCACCATGCTGTAATAGGTTCCAGATCCACCACCTACACTGAAATATGTTCATGAATAATGGATGCATAGTCCAATACAGGTGCTCCTCAGTTCATGATGGGGGTCATATTCCGACAAACCCATTCTAAGAGGAAAAGATCATAAGTTGAGTATGAATTTGATTTGGTAAGATACACTTGGACATTTACTCGACTTGACTGGCTTGGGAATATTTGGTTAAATGGGGAAAAACACACATTACAATACATCATTAAATACCGTATAAGATCCACTATCGCACCACCGTTACATCAAAATATCGTAAGTCAAAGTGCATCCGTATTAATAACTTGGAATTTTTTTTTAATTTTATATATATAATTTGACTTATGATGCTCAATCTCAATCTAAACCAGTTACAGCTTTAACCAGGATATAAACCCGACCATCCAGGACCGTGACCGGTACAGTCCGTGCAAGCTCTTCTCACCCGCCAAGGATTGCCAGGAAGGGTCTCTGGGGGTTCTCCAGGGCCATGGCGAAGTAATCCAGCTCCTTCTTCATCAGGAAGCCCGCGGCCTTCTGCGGCAGGTCCACGCCAACCATGGAGCTGCGCGGAGAAGCGGAACAGCCCCTTAAACTGTAGCATGGGCTCAGGAAGCGTTCAGGTGTAGGTCAGAACGCTGACTGGTCAGATGTTGGCTGAACTTTAACTAGGACATACAGAATGGAGATGTGGAACCAGGAGACGTCTCGTGCCCGCACCCCCGAGCTCACCTGTGGGCTCTGTGGGCGGTCCCAAAAGCGTCGTTGACGTAGATGTCACCCAGCTTGGACAGGGAGCTTCTGAAGGAGCTGATCTGCTCCTGAGAAGCTGAGATCTACAGAGAAAGAATCTTACTGGGTCAAGATCATGTGACACTACAATTGCACATACCAAGTCAGCTTAACCCTCTGGAAGCAGACTACCTAAGAGTGTTTTTCCACTGGACCAGATACCATACCTTTGGTACTTCAAAAAAAACTGTATTCAGTGTTGGTTTCCCACTGCCGTAAAAACCTGCACTGAATGACATCACCACAACACAAGGCAGGGTATTTTGTAGGCTACTGAATTCAACAAATGTTTATAGTATTAGTGTACAGGGCTGGCAATGTGCGATTTTAATACTAACAACATTAAGTGCATAACCGCCCCAAAGCATGGAAATACTGAAAAAGTATCCCAGCTGGTGTGGTACTTTTTGTACTGATATCTGACTGGAAACCAGGGGAAAAGTACATAGTTTTTAGTAACAAAATTACAGCACCTGGTGCAGTGGAAAAGCATCCTAAGAGTCACTCAAAGGTATACCCATTTATATACCTTATAAAGTATATAAGGTATACCTTATAAAAGCTGTACCCATGGCCTGTTAGCAAACGGCAGCCATATTCCCTCTCAGCTCACATACCAGCCAGGGCATGGAAGACAAGAAAAGTAACAACTGGCCACCCAAGTGACCTTTATGGAAATGTCAAGGGGTCGGGGGCCACGGCTCTGCAGCCTGAATATCCGGCCTGCCCTTAGGTCCTACAGACTGAGAGCCCGAGGCCCTCAGACCTACATCCAGCTTCATGTTCCGGACGGCTGATTGCAAAACCCTTCTGTCGACAGGGTTGCAAAACGCCGCTGCCGCACAACTCATCTTAACGAGCAGTGGTGTCCGCGTTCCCATAGCCCTCAGCGGCGCTCACCTTGTTTCCGGAGGCGTCTTTGCCCTTCCCTTCCTCGGCCACGTGGAAGCGCAGGTTCTCCAGCAGGATGACGGAACCGGCTGCGGGGTCGGCGCAGGCGGCCTCCACCTCTGCACCCACGCAGTCCTTCAGGAACAGGACGTCCCTGCACACACACACACACACACACACACACACCGCTAATTTCATACATACATTCATTAAAGCTACAAGACACCCAGGATCCAGGCCAATCCAGCTCAGGGGACATCTGCCCCATCAAATCTCCTCCTTTCATTTTGCAAATAAAACATTTCAGTTTTAAAACTCACTGATGTATTCACTCATTATTTAACAGACTTCTGATTCTTGAGTAATAAGACTAAATATTTTCATAAAGAGCAAACTAGATTTTTTATTTCCCTGGAAATAAAAGTCCAGAGAGTGTACTGCTTGTCTAGAATGAGCACAAGGGAGAAGAAATATATTTATATGTATATAGCGCTACCATTTCCAGAATATGGAACATGCATATACATCACGGATCCAGAAGGGGGCATGTTGCAGCAGGGAGGTCCACTAACCTGCCGAGCAGAGCCTTGAGCTCAATGGCCACAGCCTCCAAGGAATACTTCCCTGGCATTGGTGTCCCGTCGGGCCGGCCCAGGTGGCTCATCAGAACCACGGATTTGGCACCGTTATCCAAGCAGTACTGAATGGAGGGTAATGCAGCCTTGATCCTGATTAATAAAAATGGGACAGACATCATGCTTCGGCCATGTGACAAAGTGACATCAGAACCCCACAGATCTGTGCATGTCATTCAGAAAAAGGATTCCCAACAAGGTCCAGTACATAAGACTCTAAACAACGTAAAGTGAATTGTTTTAATACTGACTGCATTGCTGTCATACCTCTGGTTGTTTGTGATTTTCTTGTCCTTCATGGGCACGTTGAAGTCGACCCTGGAAGAAATGACAGTGGTTAATTAGGTGAACTCACAGCAGGCCATGACAATGCTGATATAAAAGGCTCAACGTGGTTAAATCCATGCAAGGTTTCAATAATGTGGGCGTAAAAATCTCTGGCTGGCAAGTATTTTAAAAGCAAATTCCTACCATGAGCAAAATACTGTATTACCAGGCAAAAATATTTATTAAGTTGTCCATTCATCCATCCATCTCATGATGACTCAAACAAACCTACAATTGGCTCATTGTCCCTCTACCCAAAGCCAATGGAATTTCATGTCTAGAAGCCCCGCCCACCCTCATCCGGTTGCCCATTAATGACCTAAAGGCTGGAAGATGGATCAAAAGCAGTGAACAACATTCATGCCCAATAATCATGACAGGCAGAAATGATCGGTGCAATGTGGCATGTACAACCTCCAAACGACCTAGCCTGCTAGCAAGAGACAATCAGAGCATATCCTATTGATACTCAGTGTAAACGCACTGTCACAGCCTATCAAATGCGTTTGTCTAAGGGCTGTTACAAAGTCAGTGGCATTTAGTAGACATGAGAAGAGGGGAAAAAGCCGTGTCAGTAAGGGTAGCGGAGATTACATAACGTGCTCCAGTACAAGCCACGTTCTGCTAGGGAAACCCCAAAACGGGATACTCTTACTCAGAAAATGCGTTTCCCCATAAAGTCATTCCGCTACATGTATAGTGAGTATAGGGAGCGATCCAGCTACTGCCGCACGTAGCCAACCCAGTGATTAAATGAAGGCGAGAAATTTCAGCTCGGTACCATTTTACCTCTGGTGTTCGTGACGGACACAGGCCTCCTATTTTACCACCATGTCACGGCAGAAAAAAAACATTCTTACAAACATTACCAAACAGCCTTAGCAACTACTTTTCATTCCAGTCTATTCTCCTTGGTTGGGAGAAAAACTAAGCAGACAAGTGTGTGTTTAACATGCAAAATGCGAATTTCCAAACTCTAAAAATATTTTTTATCGATTTATTGTCGGGGTCATTAAAACTGAGGAAACTGAGCCTATGAAAAGTAAAACATTTATCATTTATAACATTTAGGGCTATCTGATCCATCTAAATAGACCCATCAGCGGACAAATGAATGAAACTTTAATCGACTGACCGTATAATGCAGGCGTACAAAAATTCATAGATCAAGCCGGGGAAATAAATATAGAAAAACGACTGTCCGTCATACACCTCACTACAGTGTCAGCACCTGTTTTATAATAAAACCTCCACAGCAACTTATAAATAGCAAATCAAACAATTATCCAGAGTGCAAATACAATACATAATGCGCATCTTGAATTAGTTATGTACAAGGTTGTGTAGAGCTAGCTGATGATTGGTGGTGTTTTTCCTTTTTACAGGGACATGATTAAATTGTATATACTGCTGCATCCATGCCCCGTCCTGTCCCGTAATCTTTAGCCATAATGGATGAATAAAAAAAAACGGACCGACCTACGCAAGACCGTAACTGGCTATATGATTCACTTCCTGTCTACAAGCATGAATACATTCTACAAAATGTGCTGATAAAATGCCATGTATGGATTGACCGGTAATCTATTATAACTGCATGAAGAGATATGGAGCTTGATGAAGTTTCTACACAGTTAACTAACCGAACAAGTGACACATTTAACTCAGAATGGCAAACGAGATGCAAACTGATACTCTCCAATTGTCACGTTTCAGACGGAGTGCAAAATTATGGAAAGCGCTTTACCGCATGATGACACGCTTCCCCTTCACGTCCACCTTGTCCAGTGTAAGTTTGTTTGACAGAGACATTTTGACAGTAGATTTGCTCTCGCTGAGTCCTGATCTCCAACCTCGGCTGCAGGGTCGATCCCGAATAGAGTGACCTTAAACGCGTCTGTGAGGCAGACCTTGTGGGCCGATCGGGACACGCCCAGCTCGCTGCTCATTGGCCGGTCCAATTTTCTATCCTTTCCATTGGTTCACGGTGCTGTCTGTAACGCGGCCTCGCGTTCCCATCTACAGCAGCCGGGGTAATGCTGCGTCGTTGTTGAGTGACGCAGGTTAGCGGATATATAATCACGTTCCACACGAGTACCAGCAGCATGTCCTTTAAATTAAATCGATCTTATACATTGTATTGTTCAAAAACCGTCCGTATTGAAAAAACCCTCTAATTTAGTCACTAATTTGTTCTGGAAATGCAGCAGGTGTAATATTACTAATGTACCATTTCAGACGTTGTAATAGTCTATTTAAAGCGCTTATATTTTGTTTATATTCAGCAATCAAATAATCAGTAACGTAAATTTACTCGGAGAATTGACTTTAAAACGTCTCTGCATGAGTAAGATTTTCGCGCAATATTGTGGAATTTTTAATATGCTGTAACTTGTTGGTTATGCAGGAATGTTATAATGTAATCCAGTGTCATCCGCATGAATATTCCCGTTACATTTGTTTGCTTAGTTATTCATTTTAAAGTGAGAGTTGTAGCATACGAGCATCTCATGTACACAGAAAAAAAGAAGCGCCCAAGCTGCAACGATTCGGCACGTTCCTCATGGTGAGACAGATGAGCTCACGGAAACGTGCAACCGAGAAAAGCGCCATCTTGTGTACAGCCAGCAAACTACACTCACATTTCCAAAGTATCTCTTACTACCCAAATAACTACGAAGGACATAAAGACGTTAAAATGTTTGTTTTTTTCTAAACTAGGCCAAAAATACTACGTTAAGTGGCAAAAGGTCTGCACATCTATGCAGTTCTTTCTTTTTCAGGGGATGTTGGGCTCACTGTGCTAACAACAGCTACATAGTCGTGGTAATAGCAGACAGAGCAAGCAGGGCACTAAATGGCTATCAAGTTAGCCAAATATTTCAATAATGATAAGTGGGGGGATACATAGCTTTGGCAAGAAACACATCTTCTTTCAGTGTGAAAATTACAAGCTTTCTTGCAACCCAAAACATTTCTATCGCATTTTATCTTTTTCTCAGACCAGCAGCTATTGCATGAGGTTTAAACACATCCAAACTGCACCTGTTCCTTTTAATAATTGACAGTAAAACTAATACTACCACAGGCATATTCTTAAGTAAAGCATTTCACAACTTGTAGAAATGGTAATTTCACAAGAGCGTCACAGGAAAATGCAATGCTTTCATCCACCCACCCATCTACCTTTGTGTAAAGACCGCAATCCAAAGCTGTCCTGCATATATTGCAACTGATCTGTTTTAAGATTATGGTTATGCTTAATGGGGTGAAAAATACCAGGAGAGGTGAACATATACCAAGACAGTACAGAAGCTAGATTATTTCATTTATTACACACGTTATGCCAATATGACAAGAAAACCAGGTAAGGAACAAATTCAAGCAGAACAGTTCTGTATTCCTTTCCACAGGATGTTGAAGCCGGCTTCTCCATTACTCCCTCCACGGTTTGGGGGTAACTTTGCCAATTGGGGACAGGTTCCAGGTAATGCCAGTTTGTGTCAACACCTGAAAAACATTCGTAACCATGTTGTCACCACAGACATTCTCATGTTCTTAAAAAGGACATTTGCAGGAACACCGTGTCATGGTTTTACATTTACATCTATATATTTAGCAGATGCTTTCGTTCAAAGTGACAAGAGACACAGATAGCACATTTCAAAAATTGATGCAGTCATAGAGTCATATGTGTAAGTGTAAGCAGGTTTTGCAGCAGGAGCTACACAAACAGCAGTACAAGTACACATAACTATTAAAGTAAGATCCTAATAAGACTATGCCTGAGCCAGTAACTGCAACATAATAGCATTCAAAGTACAATCAGGTTAGCAGAGAAATTCCTGGAACAGGTGGGTCTTGAGACGTTTCTCAAAGGTGGAGAGGAAGACTGATGACCGGATGTGGTTTAGCAGCTCATTCCACAAGAACCACTTGGAGTGACACTTCTTATGTGTTGAAGGCATTTAAGTGGCACGAGACACTCACGTATCCCCAGACTCCGGCGCAGAAGAGAGCTCCCGAGATGAGCAGGGCATTGCCATACTGTCTGTGGAAGTTGGGGCCGTTGGTCTGATGTCGCACTGCGACCTGGTGGGTCCCACGGGCTTGCAAGGTAGGAATAGAAAATCCAGTCAAACTAAAAATTAAGACAGATTATGGCCTGTTCTCCTCTGTACAATTACCATCATCCCGATCCCAGACCACCCTAAGGTCTACAGGAGATGAAGGACAGAGGTCATTTGAAGCAGGCCAGAATTAGAAGGACCAATTCAGCTAAAAAAAAAAAACAGGGTCATAAAAAAAATGTAAAAAAGAAAAATAGTATGACATCCGGCAAAATTGTTAATTCAGAAAAAAGTTTGTTTGGTATTATCTAAATAAGTTGACGCACAGAATTATTATCCCATAAAACCAGAACAGTGGAATGGCGATGTGTGAATTGTATGCCCCATCTGAAGGCTCTTTTAGGACAGACTGGCCTAACCCCTGTGGGTTTGCTCTTCCAGACTGACCATCATGATCCCTTATGCGTGTACTCATCAAGAATATATTAGTGCGCTCCTGGTTATTTCGATAAATACGGCACGGCCTGCACTAAGGCCTAGACAAGGTCTATGACGCAAACGCGTACATTTAGTGTGCAGCACTCCAAAAAATTTAGAATGCGCTATTATGCAAATAATGAAACACTGAAATATTATCTGAGAAAGGTGCTTAGAGGCGAACATGATCACATACGGACTCCACGCTGCTCAATGTCACCGCTTCGCCCCTCGCGCTTCTCAAACACTACAGACCGGCAGAGGGCGGTAGCCGCCCAACGCACAAACAACGCTACTCAATTCCGGTTAAATAATACAACCCCTATCACAGCTAAAATGCACGATATTTTCCTGTGAAATTTCCACCACCGTATAAACCAGCCGACTGAACGTCCATAAATACCACGAGTTGGGCTAGCTACTAAGGAGGCGACCTGAACTCTCAAGGTAAGTCCTTAGTGAACAAAGCACAACGGGAACACTCATCAGCTCTTAACCATTAATAAACATATTACTAAAAATAATAACCTTTCTGACACATTAATTAAAATCTTACCGGCGACGCTGGCTGCTGCTTTAGCAAAACGAAACATTGTTAACACTTCGTCCCTCTTCCAATGCCTGTAACCGCTCTACTGCTGACAGTACCCTTGAAGAAGGGAAAACAAAATGGCAGCCAAACCGGAAACTAATGATTTCTTAATTTTAAAATGAAGTTCTTTTACGTACACAAATTATTACAGTACTATTTTTGTACTATTACAGTACATTTTGTGAAACACTTTTTAAAAAACACTTCTAGAATAAGTTTATAACTAACTAATATATTGTATATTTGTGACCGACGAACTGGTTTGTGGGTAGTGGAGTTCTTTATTACTTCGCTTGTGAGAAATTATACAAGACCTTCTAAATAATCACGGCTAGATTTATAACTGAGGTCAATAAATTACATTATTCATGTGTGAAATGCAAAAATTAAAAAGAAACTCAGATTTAAAAGACCTTGTGTTTGGAGTGAAAGCAACATCGATTATAGAAAAGGCAATGTCGTAGTGTCAGGATGGCCGAGTGGTCTAAGGCGCCAGACTCAAGGATAATCACCTTCACTTGCGAAGCGAGTGTTCTGGTCTCCGAATGGAGGCGTGGGTTCGAATCCCACTTCTGACACGAATACTTTTTCGTTTTTTTAAAGGCGAGTAATATTCACAATACAAACATCAATAACTTAATTTTTTATTGTTTTATGCACTTCTTTTTATTTGTTTCCTTATTCATTCCACGCAGCATGTTTTGCTGCGCTTGCCATATACTTGCGTATACTGCTCAAAACTGCAGGAAGTGCATAAGATACTATCAGGATTAATAATGAAGTCACTTGTGATTGTGAAAAGCGTCTGAATTTACCTAATTCCATCGTCGTATTACAGGTAAACAGTAAATTATCTTAAGTGTTATCGGGGTACTAATTCTTTTAAACGAATTGACAAGGATTACACGTAGGCTACTTAATTTGTTCTCTTGCGTTACCTGTTCCGAAAGCCGATGGTGTAGATTACAGCGTTTATAATAGCGTTGTCCAGTAGTGAAGGAATCGTTTTTTGAACCGAATCTTTTTAGTGAATCGGTCCCACCGGTTTTGAAATCTAAACCGGCTAGTAAATGTGCCCGTAAAAATAGCGTCTGTTTGTTGTGGCTTTGTTGTTGATTTTAATCTTTTAATTAGATAAAATATTTTTTTTGGTATTCCAAAATCTATTTTTATAAAAATCTCTTTTCTTTTTGTCTTATAATTGGGGTCCTCTTATATTCGGGCCAATATTATAACTGAACAAAGTGCAGCAGCATGTACCTCCCGCACCGACACTTTGAATCGAACCTTCGATTACTTAAACGAACAGTTGTAATCGATATGTACATTGAATCTAACTTCCCATCATTATTGTGCAGATTACCTATCCATCACGTTCGTTTATGGCTGCTCCGTCAGCACTCCTTTGTTTTCTTAAGGTTAAAAATCAAATTTTACTGTCACTTTTTATGCCTGTAATGCATTTGGTGCCCGTTTCCTATGTAGTACACGGTCAGATCCGCAAGTAAGGACAAGATCTTGGATTGGCATGTACCATTTTCTGGCTTTTCAGGAAGGAGAAAATAATAAACCCATTTTATTATTTAAATATGGTTATTTTATTTTTAAAATGTACATACTAGAGGAATGACTGCATGAAATTTTTGTCAATTTAGTACTGACATTCAGAATTCAGCAAAAAACAACAGAAGAAATTAACAGATTTTTTTTATAATTCGGTTCATAATTTAGTTGTTGCAGAATTTTCGATTAAAATGTGTTTATATAGTGACTTTTGGTTTTCTAAATCAATTAACATTCATATTCATATGTGATTCTACAAATTTTGTAGCCATATACTCCATAGCTAATGACTAATATTTATAAAAACTATAGTTACATCTTCATTTTCAATTGTAAAGTATTGACATTTTTCGCCTAAAACTGTATGAATCACATGTCAAGCATGAAACTGTATGTTTGAACAAAGACAACAAACCAAATGGCCCATTTAGTTTCTTAATGTTTTTATTGGACAGGATGCCAATGAAATTCTAAATTAAACTTCAGAAAGCAGTCCAATGGTGAGCATACACAGAAAAACGTCATCACCGGCAACAATGGATCCCTTGAGTCTCAATAACATACAACTCCGTAGACCAGAAAGGTCGTATTTCCCTGCACTCTTTACACATATTCGGTAAATAATCCCTTGAACAAGATGCCACTCAGGTTCAAAAAATACAAGCTTTTCTGTATACTACGAGTAGAGCAATTGTTTATAATAAAGAAGCTTGTTCCTATATGAAATCCATAAAAATAGCACTTTCAGCCAATGGGCTTAGACCAAATTCATTAGAATATGCAGACAGACTGCAAATATGGTCCAAAGCATGTGACTATGACCTGTTTTTTAACTCCCATACTGCAAGTCTGATGTTTCCCTGGGGTTCCCAACATGACTGGAACGTTATCTTTTTTTTTTTTCCTCTCGAAAGAGGAAAATGTATAATTCTGCACACAGAACCTCCAGCACTTTAATAGGAAGCTCTTACTTATTGCAGCTAGACAGAATATTACTGCTTGGATGTCGAAAGTTTTGTGTGGTTTCAAAAAAAAAAAAATCCTGATTTGAATGGAATGGAATGAAATTATATTCCCTCTTTATTCACAACACTTAAAAAAAACAAAAAAAATCTTGGTCAAAAATACAAGACTGGTCTCCTCAATAGAAATGCATAAACAATGGAATCATAAAGCATACCATGAATAATGTTCCCGTATAAATCATGGAACGTGTCATACCATCGCATAATCCAGGCACGATCTGGGATCCTGCAGCAAAGTCCAAATGCTGGACCACACAATTCAAGTGATGCAGACTAATTTCAAAAAGATCAAAGGCAATTCATAAGGATCAAAAACAAGCAGGATAAACAACAGTGACAATTAGTATGTTGTGCAATACCAGTAATGCAAGGTGATGCAATATCTTCTATCTGCAGGGAATTAAGGCATGTCGATTCTGGATGTCCTCTCTAAATGCGCCTGTCGTTTCAGTCCTTTTTGTCCTTGACGTCCTCGTCATCTGTGTATTCTGTGGGCTCCTCTCCTGGCTTCAGCAGCTTGCCCACGTAGTCGTACTTCTCTGCGAGAGATTTGGACAGGATGTCAGGCATCAACGACTCGCCCAAAGATAGGCTGTCATCCTGGGACGCCGATCAGAGACAGACACCTTGACAAGACTGTAAGATTATTCTTGAATGCAGATTATTAAACCTTAACACCTGCAGTTACACATTTACTTTTTTTTTTTTAAAAAAAAAAAGCAATCTTGAACATATAGTTGTACAACAAACCACAAATATATAGACATTTTTGGGGCAGGTAACCTGCATGTGCCTTCTTGAGACAGAACAAGCAAAGAGGTGCATTTACGGGTAAACTGAGTCTCCCATTCGCCCAGACTCTCCTGCTGCATGGCGTTGAGGTCCGACAGGTCATCATGGGTGTCCTTTAAGGCTTCCTTATCCAGGCAGAACGTGGCAAGCCCCCGCGAGGCGTCCCGACCAGCAAACACCCCGTACGGACCCTCTGAAAAGACACTTCGCAAGTTACGTAAGAATACTTTTACGGGACAGTATTGCCAGACTGTTTTTTCAAACATATCAAAATAACGAGAAATGGAAGTCTCATATTTCTGATGTTCGTCTAAAGCCTTGTACTAAGATACACAAAAGCAAATGTTTACAAGGTCTGATAACGGCCAAGGATACCCAAAGCAACAAGATAAAGAGAGAGGGCTGATTGGACAGTTTTATCCTAAGGTATGCACTGAATTATAAGGCACGGAGCTGGCTTGCGGCGATGCACTTCAGATGTTCGGTTCCTAAAGATGTTTTGGGATCTACGTCATAGCAGTGATCAAGTTTGATATGAGGAGGAATTAATAATTAAAATGTAACGTTCTATTTCTTGGATGGACGAATGAAGCGAAATTAAATATTGGGGTTTACAAGTCCCCTCGTTCCTATGCTCCTGATTGTATGCTCCAGTTACTAAATCAATTCGAACCAGTATAAAATATTACATCTGTGCGTTAAAAAAATGACTAACAGTTATGAAACAACAACTTAATTTCAGAATCCGTTTCGGAAACACCACGAAAAGTAGCTGCCGCACATGGCAAAAATCTAGTCTAGGCAAATAAACGATCCAGCCTGATCTCCCCTCACGTCGGGCCAGTTGGGTGCACAGGGCCGTATGACAGAGGTTGTGTAAGTTATAAGCTGAATAGGTGAGAGGTAACAAGGTCTGGTAACAATTCAGATAAACGCCTCACTGAACTCTGACCACCAGTACACAGCGTGATGGGGGGTGTGGCGATGGGTAAAATACCAAAATGCCCAAATTTCACAAACTCAGACATCACATTTTTGTCAGTTGTCCAGAAAAAAAAGACTCAAAAACTTTAAACCACACCCTTTAAAAAAACGTGCATTAAGTTATGCAAGACGGGAACTTAACGAATAACTATATATGTTGGTAAAAGTGCATCGTGGGAAAACTGAAAACACCTTTACAATGTAAGATGAGAAAATTATATCAATCATACGAAACTTCACCTGGACCGTAGAATTTCTTCCCTCTAGTCACATCAAAAACTTTGCCATTGACTGCCATGAGAATCCTGGGATTCGTCGCTCCGTCGTACTCCTGTAGTTCAGAGAGCGTAAAATCCCTCTTTAGTTTTGGCAAAGAAGCTTCTACCTGCCCCATTTCTGCAGGCTTGTCGCCGCGAAATATTTTATACAGCAGGAATATGCAAAGGAAAAGCAGGCTCAAATTCAGCGGCGACGTGTAGATCTCCTGCAAAATCCCCGTGGTTTGCATTGACTCCTCGTCAGCCATTTTGTGTCTAATAATGCAACCTAGAGAGGCCTGTGTGAGGTATCCACCGCCACCGACTGACGCCAACATCAACTCCTTCTTCGCTGGCTTTCCGTAAACAGTGATAACCGGCCCCAAAGCCCAGTACCGCCGCTCAATGCACGGGAGTACTGAGCGCTACCGACGGCACTCAGCTTGCTGTATTTGCCAAAGATGCAGTTTCTTGCGGTCAGTAAAATGCAAAAATAAAAAAAAACCTGCAGTGCATATTAATGTGCATGAACAAGAGTCTCAATAACTTCACAAGGCACACAGAGAGAAAAACGTCAACGAATTTCAATTTATTGAGAATAAAAAAGAAGCACACCCCTTCTGAATGGAACAGTTGTATGTATAGAAATATTATTATCTAGCTTTAATATATTTTAATATATAACTTAAAATTTACCATCCTCGGATCTTAAATCCACGATGATTTGGGAAACTCATACGTATTTGGTAGAGCATGTTTAAAATTGAAAATCATGTGAAACTGATAACGTGATTATGTAAAGAAAATCCAGTGAAGCCCAATAAAATTATTAATTTTTATTTTCTTTTTAATCTTAGGTCATATAAATAGCAACCTTACCTGCAAATATGTAGGTTTAAATTGTGTAATGGATTGATCTCGGGTAGGTACATTTTTAGTAGGACGTCTAAGGTGCAGTTGTATAGCTGTGTTATATAGAGTGTCAATTTTCCAAATTGCACGAAACGAATCTTGATTGGATTTAACCGTTAACATAATTTAAACCCTAAACGGATAACTAATAATAAGATTTTTTTTAATCCCCATGGTAAGTTTCCCATGCCAGTGTTACCTACTCTATAGTTTTATCCCGTTTATACCAAAGACATCCTTAATGTATCATTGCTCGTACTGTATAACGGATCGTTAGGGGTCTGCATGTTTTGTCCTTGTCCGGCTATTCTGTTTTTCATATTAAGATTGGCCAATCTGCTTTCCTTACCACTGGTCAGTCTCCTTTTATTTTTAAGACCATCCGTAAGAGTGCAGTTTACCACTGGCCCGGCTCCAGCAGGCGAGTCGAGGCAGACCAGCGCACTTGCTAAAGGGAATACATATGAATACACGGTAAAGCTGGAGGGCTCCGTCACCAGACCGCTGTATTTCGGGGCTGCGATTCGGGTGCCGGCGGTTCTGGGCTTTTCCATCGGCGGACGCGGCTATGGATCGGCACGCCGGCGTTATTTTACACAGGACCCGGGTGCTGGTAGCTTACACACATATGCAGCACGGTGTGAGTGTCAGCTACTTTACTCTCCGCTGAAATCGCTTTTTTAAAACCTCCGGACGCCAAAGAGCACTTTTACACCTGGATATTTTTCTTTTGCAATTCACTTTTAATTATTTCGACGCAGGGTAAGTAATCGTGTCGGTAATTTCGGTTTATTTACCCGGTGGTATGTCCTTGGCTAGCTTGCTAGCTGCAGTAAACCATCTAGGTGCATGGGAGCAATATCGACCCGCCCGTGCGGATACGATAGCGCGTATGAAACATGCGTATTAAACCAAGCAATCGGCTTCTCCTTAAGCCCCCTAACTCAGTCATGTTCACATTAGGGCACATTAATACGGCGTCCCTCGGTTTGGGCCTCGGCGGTGCCAAAATATGGGTCGCCACCAAACTGCAGATGTTGTGCGTTTTTTTGGGTACAACGAACCTGATAATACCCAGACTGAATTGGTGTGGCAGTATTTCTGCAAAGTGTTTTACTGCAACAAATGCAATATTCCGTAGGGTGGAATATGTGCCTTGCAAAGACCGCGATCATTGCTTTCGTTATCGCGTACGTCTAATGGTGTTTTCGCAGCCCAGTGTAAATAATCCTAACACTGATAGCTGTAATGTTGCCAACACTTTCTCTCTTATTTTATATCAACTTAAATAATTGTATAGATGAATGCTTGGGTGTAGCGTATCCTAAAATTGATCAACAAGACAGCTGAACTTTTCTGTGCCGTCGTTGGTTTAAAAGTGCTGTTATCTCTTCTAATCTGGCATTTCCAGGGCAGTGGTACAACTGCACAACTTCTGGGTTGTTGGCCTTGGCACACAATGAGCGCAAAGCGGGTGGACGCCAAGGTGGTGATGCTGGGGAAGGAGAGCGTCGGCAAGACCAGCTTGGTGGAGAGATATGTGCACCAGCGCTTCCTGGTGGGACCATATCAGAACGTGAGTTCTGTCGCCTATGTCCTGTACAGGTTCGCCAGTTCTCCCACATCTGGTGTGACACTCACGCTTTCGGACTAGGGTGATCACCTAATCCATGTCAGGAGGGACACTATGAGCTACTTCAGCTTTTCAGAACTACTTTAAAGCTGAAAGGATTCTGTGCTCTGCTAAAATGTTTGGTTAGTTCCTAGATTGAAAGACTCATCCAGCTGTTTCGCATTAACATTACTGACACATATGCATGATTATAGGAGACTGACCAATCAGCATACGGCAAGAACCCAGTGCTTAAGTGAAATCCTGGTCCTTTTAATTGAAATGTATGAAATGGTAGTTTACAAATCCTGTTGTAGCTCATAGTGTCCCTCCTGACATGGATTAGGTGGTCACCCTATTTCGGACTCTCATGCATGAAATCTCCCAGCAAATCTATATTATTCCGTTATAAACCCAAAGTTAGCTACATCAAAAGTGTTGGGGCAGTTTGTAGACCCTATAGACTATTTACAAGGCGATAAAACTCTTACATATTGTCTCGAATTGAAAATCTCACTCCAGCTAGCTGACCAAAGTTAGCAATGCTGCCTCTAGACAAGCAGGATCTTAACTTAACTGTGAGGAATAGCAGGACTAAAGATGGATTACAGCTATACAGTTATTATTCTCCCGGTTGACGTCTGAATTGACTCCGCCTTTATGACAGACTATCGGAGCGGCGTTTGTGGCCAAATCAGTCCAAGTGAGCGACCAAGTAGTGACCCTTGGGATTTGGGTAAGTGCGCTGGTGGACATGGGGCACAGTTTATCACGTGGTAAATATTATTCATACGACGCAGACGTATGAATGATATTCGCTTTTTCCAACCCACTTAGCTGTTTTTCCTGATAATTATGATAATAGTGAAGATATAGTGACGAGTTGAGTTTCTTTTCTCAGCTCTTTTTCGTGTGAGAGTTTTCCCCGAGCGATTTTTTTCATGCTTGTATTTTAATGTTCATTTTATTTTTATTGTCTTCCCTCCCTTCCTGCATGTAGGATACTGCTGGATCAGAGCGCTATGAGGCCATGAGCAGAATATATTATAGGGGGGCTAGAGCAGCAATTGTCTGTTACGGTAAACTTTCCTTTCTCGCTATCTTCAGTGCTCAAAATTTCTAAGTATAAATATGTTGAAGGTTTGCCCCCCCCTCCCACATGCACTGAGTCACTATGTTCTCCCTGCTGTAAATGGACCAGGCTGTTTATTCTTTATTAAGACATTTTGTCACTAGCTGGCTGCTCCATGACCTTGAGTCACTCGTCGCGACCTATAGGATGCGCTCTTACATTAACTCTTTGTTGTTAACAGAATGCTCATTGGTGACTCCATACTTAATGGCTGACTTGAATGAAAAGCATGAATTTGCCTTCCTGCATCTAAATCAGTATTTTCTTTCTTAGATTTGACCGATTCTTCCAGTTTTCTGCGTGCCAAATTCTGGGTAAAGGAGTTACAGAACTGTGAAGAAGTAAGCCCGTCAGACGTAAATTTGTGCATTAGTAATTTTCAACCGTAATTTCATTATGAAGTTCAGCTTAATTATAAGGCAATGCGTTGTTTTCTTTGATGTGAGTGGTGGTTTTCTAGGGTATTTATAATGTCCACAAGTTCCCCTTGCGCTTCCTGGGTGAAAGATGCTATTACCAGCTGTTGGTATCTGTCACATGACCTTTCACCGTGTGACCTTCCACCCATTTCCTCACATTTCCCTTGTGTTGTGATATGAGATCTTGGGTGTTTATCAATATGTGTACTTGACCGTTCTTGTGTTCTGGTGTACCAGTTTGACGTCATCTTCCATTGCCAAAGAACAGTTCCAATACTCAAGAACAGAAATATGGAGGATGGTAAAAATCCCCGGATGTTGTTCTTGCCCCAGCCAACAGTGTCCAGCTGCAGACGCCTGTAGAGTGGAGCTCCACCGGAAATACGTCACCTCCACAGGAAATACGTGATTTTAAGGGGCGTAAAGTGGAGCTCCACAGGAAACATGTGACATGGAATTATTTTTACATGCCTGTGTTGACCAGCGGAGCCTCCGGGTTAATGCTGTCTGTTATGAGAAAGATTAAATTACTGGCACATGAGTGTGTTGATTGATTTTTTTTTTTTATTTAATTGTTTGTTGTTGCTGTCTAAATAAATTTAGCAGTTGATTGAATATAATTGTTACATGT